AAAAAAAAAAAAAAAAAAAAAAAAAAAAAAAAAAAAAAAAAAAAAAAAAAAAAAAAAAAAAAAAAAAAAAAGAAGATGCAAGGAATATGAGTGAGAGCGATAGACAGAAAACCAAGTTGCAAAATCATGAAGTAGTCCAGATGGCAGATAGTCATGTACCAAGCAGAGAGCACCAATGCACCAAGATACCATCCAAGTAAGAGCAATACAATGAACTGAACTCCTGTTCCAATGTCAACGCTCTCTGGTCAGACCAACACCGTACCCAGTGTAGCTTAGGGCTAGGTCCCACTTGCACGAATTAAGAGATACTGACCGTAGATAGCAAGGATCAACGGCCGAAATCTCCTAATTTGCGCAAGTGGGACCTTGCCCTTAGCCTACACTACTCAGCCTACCTACAACTATATACGTTCATGCACCTTGATCACATCGACGTTGAAGACCAATGTACGTGACGTCATCACCAATGCAGACCGCCAGCATACACCAGTAACTGTTACGTTCTCTCTCCTCCCCTCATTACACCCAGGCTGGTTCCCCTTTGCATGTGCCTCCTACCCCGAAGACCACCATCGCCGTCACCTGCCACCCGCACGCTGGGCCCAGCTATGGCCGCCGTGCGCCCACTGCCACCGCAGTGCCCTCGCACGTCTCTGCGCCCGCGTGCGCCCTGGCCTGGCCACAGAGAGCAGGTTCACATGGCGTAGCAGCAGCGTGGCCGCATTGCCTGCTCAGGCCAGAATGAGGCTGCTGCCTGGGCAAGGCACTTTCCTTTATGGAAAGTGCGGCGGCCCTGTGTCTGGCTGCGTGGGCCTGGCCTGGGAAGTTTCCAGTAGCTTCCAGTCGGCCCCCGGTGTCTGTGCCCAGGCCCGCCTCTGCGGTTATGGGCCTGTGCCCTTTTCAGTTGGGCACGTTCAGGCACCCGCCAAGGGTCCAAGTGTTTGCCACATTCTCATTGGCTCGTGGAGGTTGTGTGACGACAATGCTGCTTTCTCATTCGGCCGCGGCCACTGCGTGATGTGTCGGCCTCCCACTGTGTGTGCCCAGGGCACAACCAACCAGGGCCCTGGGCTCAACTGTGCAGCGCAGCTGTTGCTTCTGAAAGGAGCCAGGAAAGGCTCACGTTGCTTTGTAACCAACCAACCAACTGGCGTGCTGCAACTGTTCGATACCCCACGTATGGAAAAAATGTCGAAAAGAGGACTCAGGTGGGGCCCGCCTTCACTTAGGGCGGGCACGAGGCTTGCTGGGGGCCACAGCCCAGAACACTTGCATGCGTGTAAGCCCCCCGTGAGGGCTCATTCCTCGCAAAGAAACCAAATGCAGGTGAAAAAAAAAAGAGAAAGGACACCCACGGGCCTAGCTCAGTTGACACACCCATGAACTGTTGAAATGTAGACCTGGGTTCCGGATACTGTCAGATGAACAGAATAAATTTAATTAAAATCATTCTGAATTACCTGGGGCCGGTCAGTTCAATGATGATATCTCAACTTCTCAAGGTCGTCCCTTTTTTAATTTTATTTTTTTTTCAACCAACTGCAAAAAGAAAGAAAGAACGAAAGAAAGAAAGAAAGAGAGAGATCCAACTGGCCTAGCTCAGTCGGTACACCCATGAACTGCTGAAAAGCAGACCCGAGTTCGAATGCCACTGGAATCAGGTGTCTAAAAATAACTCTGCATTTACCCGGGGGCAGTCAGTTCAAAGACGTATATCGAGCAGAAGCTACGACAATATACAAGCAATCGAGAACGGAAACCAGGAGAACAGCAAAGAAGGAGAAGAAAGAATTTAACCAGAGAGCGACAATCCATGTCTCGAACACGACTTAGAAAAAATTAAGCATGAAGCACGACATGGCGTATGACCCTTAGCTACCGGTTTCACCTGGCCGCCAACCAGGATCATCAGGGGTCTTCCATACTTAGTGACATGGACTAACACTACTGACTCCCTAAATACTAGCAAAAACTACCAAAAAACACAGCCTACGTCCATGAGAACACTGCTACTCTCCAACCTTCCGACAAACGCCACCGTGCTTCTCAAGTCGTATCCACCGACCAACTTGAAGGTAATAAAGAGCCTAATATAGTAAGCTACCAGACCTAAGATACACCACTGTATCTGGACCGGAAAGTAGGTACTTAGACGTAAGAAAAAAATTCACCACAAACAATTAACCCACAGGGCCTGAGCTCGATCCTTACCCTCCGACCGAACCAGTTAGCATCTACGATACCGAGGCAGGCACCAACAAGAAGTGCCTATTCTTCCAGCGCCCGTTTCTGCCGGCCGCAAAACGGAAATTCACCAAGGAACCTCGAACCTTCAACCTACAATTACCAAGCTCACTCCGACGAACACCGGACCCAAGTTCAAACCCTTCAAACATGGTCAGCACAGATCAACATATGCCCGACAGATGCTCAACTGTAATTGTTAAAAACCCGTCCTGGGCTCAAATCCTACATCCACACCCAACACCGATACCTTAACATCTGCCAGTATTCAAAAAAAAAACAAAAAAAAAAAACCTTACAGCCGAGACTGATCATCCAGGTTCAAATCCTCATCCTTATAACCTGTAACCCCCTACACCATCAGGTTTTTTTTTTTTTTTTTTTTTTTTTTTTTTTTTTAAGGACGAATGCTCCAATCTATTCGTGGGGAGCAACACGTGCTGGGAACCGGGCCCAGCGTCCCATATAGCATTA